AATTATATTTTTAGACCAAATAAACAAGGGCACAACTTTCACTGGGGATGGGGGAGACATGTCCGCCTCCGAGCAGGCGGGTAGGCTGTTTGGAGTGTTTATCCGACTGGATAAAAAAATGTAACATAAAAAATGTCCTCCCCACTTCTAAAACCAAAGTTGCGCCCCTGCAAATAAAAGAGCACATTGTTAAACTCTAGCCTTCCCCGACATAATCTTTTGAATGAGCCCTTGTCAACTCCAATGATGCAGGAAGTCTCTGTGCGCGCGAGGGGCTGCTGCCAAAATGAAGTGTCGTCATTGATTAACATTACCTCTCCTCTCCTTTGTGTAAAGTTGTTGCAGATCCAGAAAGTGAGTGATGCTGTTTACCTTGGCAGCCCTCAGTGCTATTCATCATCATAGTGCTAGACTGGTAGATAGCTGCCAGTGGTATTTACATTAATTAAAGGTCCAATGCAGCCATTTTATCTCAATATCAAATCATTTCTGGGTAGCAATTAAATACCTTACTGTGATTGTGTTCGATTAAAATGGTAAAAACATTTTTAAAAATTGCTTCTTAGCAAAGAGACATTTCTCTGGGAGTGGTCTGAGTGGGGATGGTGAAACTGAAAACTAGCTGTTATTGGCAGAAAGGTTTGAAACTCTTTTTCTTATTGATCTATTAACTAATTGACCACCTGGCGATGACACCAGGCATGCCAAAACTTCAGCCCACCAAAAAAGGCTGACATTTCAGGCAGTCTTTTCAAACAGCTTTTACACTGAAAAGGGCATTATCATAATTTTCACAATTTGACAGTATTATTCCAACCTCATAGTGTGGAAATATACAGTATATAAAACACAGGAAAATCACGTTTTTGACCGCACTGGCCTATAAGACTGTAGCTGTACAGGTAAATGCTTATGAGCTGCTGGAGGAACTGTTCATTTGTTGTGATGGTATATTTGTTGCTAATCTGCGTGTTAATACATGGTTGATTGTAGGTTTATTTGGAGATATGACCGTGTCTCATTGAGTTTTTTACTCATTTGGGTTGGTGGGTATTATTGAGTAAAATAATAATAATAATAATATGCCATTTAGCAGATGCTTTTATCCAAAGCGACTTACAGTCACGCGTGCATACATTTCTTTTTTCGTGTATGGGTGGTCCCGGGGATCGAACCCACTACCTTGGCGTTACAAGCGCTGTGCTCTACCAGCTGAGCTACAGAGGACCACATGTCATTGTGAACGTAGGCTTGAAGGCTCAGTATATTTGTGTTAATCACATGCTGAGGATTATTATTTGTAGACAGAGTATTCATCCTTAAAAGCCTTGCACGCACAGCAATGAAAATAAATAGAAGGAAATCAACAAATATCAACAAAAACCAAATCTTTGGAACAAACATTGTATGTACACTCTGGATGAATCAAGGCACACCATAGAGCTCAGTTTAATAATATAGTTAAATAGCATGCCACTGAAGGGGAATAAGAAACAAGAAGACATCCATACAGTGTTTGCAGTAGGGCCATGCAGCATGGTGTTTTTTGCTGGTGAGTGTATGGCGGAGAGAAGGTGAACTGATTCTCAATCCTTAATTTTCCTAATGGAGTGACAAGGCAGACAGGTGGCAGCAGGCCAGGTGTTGACCCCAGGCTGATGGATGTGGCAGTAGTGACTGGGGTAAGTACCATAGCTCCATGCCGCTGTCACTGTCCAAACAGACACCTTCAGAGCCTCCACTTTTCCAGGAGCAGAGCTCAAGGGGGCAGCTCTGTGGTGGTCAATGCTGATAAAGCAACAATACAGTGGTATCCATCCCTGCCTTCACCAGCATAGCCAGTGGTATGCATCCCTGCCTACACCAACATAGCCAGTTAGATGCAAGTGTTATCTTTTCAAATATAGTATAGCCCACATACTGTAGGTTGCTGTACATATATAAATGATGATCAAGATTATAATAATAATTTTTTATTTCACCTTTATTTAACCAGGTAAGCCAGTTGAGAACAAGTTCTCATTTACAACTGCGACCTGGCCAAGATAAAGCAAAGCAGTGCGATAAAAACAACAACACAGAGTTACATATGGGGTAAAAAAACATAAAGTCAAAAAATACAACAGAAAATAGTGTGTGCAAATGTAGCAAGTTATGGAGGTAAGGCAATAAATAGGCTATAGTGCAAAATAATTACAATTAGTATTTATTTATTAACTCTAGAAATGTATCAAACCTATTTCAAAATATGCATGCAAAGGCATTAACGGCACATGCAGTAGCCAACTAGACAGTGTTTATAAATTACCGTTGGGTAAAACTACTAATGCAGTGCATATCGATCATACCTGTGGGACCCATCATCCTCTCCCACACGACACAACCGGGGATAGAAAACACATAATCCATGACATCGCATATGTTATCACTCTCTCCCTTTCACTCTATCTTCCTCATACAAGGAGGCAGAGGAGGCGGGCATGGGTATTAGTTCACCACAGAGTTCAGTTACGTGAACATACTGATAGTGCTGATATATGATTTTGTTTTTGACTTATTGGACTTTATTGGACTAAAATGCCTTGAGGGGAGTCCTTTTCATTTGGCAATGGTTACTTTTAGAAAATATTCTCAGGGTAGAATCTGTCTTCTTGAGAAATCACATTCACAATGATTCTAAGTAGCCCTAAAATACATAGTACATTTTCTTACCCACTCTTTAAAGTATTGCACCATTCAATTATTTATGTGCAGTAAATTTGAGTCAGCATTCAGCAAACTGTTTTCATGCCATGCAATTGTGAGAGGAGCCAATAAAGTAACAAACTTGGATGATAAATATGCCTTACGGTTTTATTACAGCAGAAAATTAGGTAGTATAAAATACCATTTCTTTTGAGGTTCTCTTGGAGGATGGTAACCACTCCACATACCCTATGTTAGTATGTACTGAGTGTAAATACATATATTAGTCCCTGTAAGTGAGTGCTCGTATCTACGAGTGACTGTTGTTGATATTTCAATGCACAGCATTACCATATGACATAATGACATCACTTACAGAGACAGGTTCAGAGATAGTTCACCCAAATTACAAAATTACATATTGGTTTCTTTACCATGTAAGCAGTCTATGGGCAAGGTATGACAGCAATCCATGCTTTGGTTTTGGTATTGGTATTTTATTAGGATCCCCATTAGCTGTTGCAAAAGCAGCAGCTACTCTTCCTGGGGTCCACACAAAACATGAAACATGACATAATACAGAACATTAATGGACAAGAAAAGCTCAAGGACAGAACTACAACCCTGGCATCCTATTCAAGTCATGGGACCGATATTAGCATATTTCGCGCATCATGTCCAAATCATTCAAAAGTATCTAAAATTGCTTGTGTAGCTCAACAAAGTCACTTATAGATTATTTGAACATGATGCAAGAAAAATGCTAATATCGGTCCCATCACTTGAATGGGATTTGTGCCATAAATGCTAAAACGTTAGCATTTAGATACAGTACCAGGGAAACTAAACCAAAGGATTGATTGTTGTCACACCTTGTCCATATACTGCTTAAAGGGTAAGGAAACCAATATGACATTTTGTAATTTGGATGAACTATCCCTTTAACGAGAACACAGTGTGGAAGCCATTTGGAAAAAAGCAAAAGTCATATCAGCAATCATAGCAAAGACCTGATGAGAGGCGTACCATCACCGGAGAGGCCAAAATTAAACAAAGCACTCACGTTAGCTGATTAAAAAATTCTGACCCCAGAGAATATACCTGCCTTGTAGTATCCATTTGAAAGCAACTATTAGGACATTATGCAAATAAACTTGAGAAGAAAATAACATGTTGGTCTGTATTAGTCATGATGACAGCCAAGTATGGTTTTCTTTGGAGAGCCAGTTGAGGTAACCTGCCAACTTGGAGGTGGATGAACATAATGCCATGACAAATAGCATGCCAAGTGAAGAAAGGGAGGCATTTGACACACGCATGCATGCACGGGCGCACACACATACACACACACACAACATAACATGTTATCTGCACAATCCAAAATATGCCAATGGGAATCTCATCATCCAGGAATTTAAGAGTTCTTGCATGTCAGAGTGATCATGGTCATCCTAATCAAATAGACTTTGATAATGCTTCATACCATTCTAACTATCTAATGAAAAGCGAGAGATAATCTGGTATAAATGGGAGTTTATGTGGTAAAAACGTTTCTATGACAGTAAAGCTATTAAAAATGTGTATGGGAGTGGATTGGTGGGGTCAAGCACACATTCTGAATAAAAGAGCACTTTCTATTTCATAAATTAAACATCACCCGCAGCGTTTTAACATGAAGGTATGTGGGTGTATGGCGGCGTTTTGCACACATAAGCATGAATAAAAGTTACGGTCCAGTTGCAGCATAAAACATTGTAACATGAATTGCATTCAGCAGGTTTATCAGCGTGTACAGTGTCCTGCCTGGACTATAGCTTCATTCCAGAATGTTTATCCTCAGAGATACTGATTTCTTTGATAATATCTATAGAAATAATTATGCACCCATATGATCACAGGCACAAAACACTTCATCAACATCAGATACACTGAGTATACAAAACAACTCAATATTAGGAAGGTGTTTGTAATGTTAGGTATATTCAGTGTACATCACATCACACACGTACTGCACTTAACTGTAAGTAAGCTACCTCCAGTTGTGCTCAAAATAGATGCCACAAAGTAATGTATTCATTTTATATTGCTTGACATTCAGTAAATAATACTTTATGTCTGAGTGAAAACTTTGGTTTATGTTGGATGACAGTTTATGGCCTGCATAAATTATTGTTACGACTGCCTGGAAAACTACATCTTCTGGAGAACTACATTTCCCAGCCCCAGCATTTGGATTTCCCATAGGGCTGTTCAACATTCTCTCTACAGCAACCCACGTCGCTATTGCTCTTGGTTGAAGGAACAAGCAAATAATAATGTTGGGCCAGGCTATACGACGATTCACAACCTCTGCGGTTCGCTCATCGCATTACGGCGAGGGACCAGGACAGGTAATTTCCTCAAAAAATAAATGTTACAAAGATTAGTTAAATAAAGCCGCTGTCCCATAACTAAGCCTACTACGGGCCTTAGCCTGCTTGTGTAGGTCACAAGCTAGGTAACCTTAATCTGCAAGTTTTTCGTTTGAAAACAAAGTCAAGTGCTAGCTAGTTATGAAACATATCGAGATAAACACCAATGTCTAACGTATTGTAGTCAAGTTCGTTGTCTATTTGACTCCTGCGTGGGGTTTCTACTTGCCGTAACGTTGGGTGGTAGCTAGATAACGTTGCATAGCCATCTAGCTAGCAAACGCTTGCAGTTGTTAGCTAGCTAAATTAGTCAGTTAACTAATTTAGGCTAGCTAACTCTTTAAATGTTTCTAGCTAGTCCTGGATTGTCAGAATATACTGAATAAAACGTCTTCATATCGTCAGCATTTAGCTAACTGTTATCTATGTAATTGTAACTGTAGCTAGGGTAACGTTAGTTCGTTGGCGTCACGTCAGTTATCAGAGGTGAGTTGTTAAATGATTAGCTAGATGGTTAACTTAGCTAGCTAACGTTAGCAAATTAGTTGGCTACTGTTAGCTAACGTTACTTATATAAATGAATGAGGGTTGCATGTACAACCTTGACATGGCGAGCTTCATAAACATGATTATCAGGGCTATCGAGGTAGTTAGCTACATTATTGGTTAAATCGTCTACTTGTACGATTAAACTGAGACTGAGCAAAGATGTAACGACTGCAGCCTATGCTATGTCGAAAATATAAGACAACGTCGTCACAAATCTGGGACCAGAGTCCCATTGTTGCAAAGAGTTTTAGAACGGGCTTGGAAGCTCTAACCCTGCCAATTGACTGGGAAACCCAAGGGTACACTCGCAATGGCTGCCTGGTATTGTGATAAAATAATTTCCATGATATTTCCGAATGTTCTGTCAACTGATGCTGGATTACCATTGTAATGTAGAATGTTCATTGAAATTATGCTAGCTGATGTGGCTCATGCAATTGATTGTATTTTTTGTAAAGTCAGTTGAGTTTACTAAAAAAATCACAGCACAGATTGAAGGGTACACTTCCTGCTTTTAGTCCTGGCATGGGTGCACTCAATGGCTGCCAATCCACCCATTATGCCATAATTGACTTGAATGGAGACGCCCTTTCTATTAATTCTTATTTCTATGGTCTTAACCTTTGTCGTCTTCAACCTAGACTGCAGCTAGCCAGCTAACGGTTAGTGCTATCCGGGATCCTTGGAACGTCCCTACCACTAAAGCCAAACCATAAAACCTAACCCTTACTCATGAAAATGTTAAACTTCAATGGTGTAGGATCCCAAATAGCAAGTACCGCCAACTAACGTTACTTTCAAAGTCTTGCATTGAGTTCCAATTGTACTGGTTGACACTGATTGTCCTCAAGCTGATGTTGGCTGCAGTCCAACTTAGACGGACATAACCTTGTCCATGTCACATTGAACTGTGATAAGCTCATTACATGGTCAGCTCTCTCTAAACACTGATGTCTTCGTGTTTATGTTTGATAGAACCTGCCATTCTCAGTGGAGAACAAGTGGCGTCTGCTGGCAATGATGGTGGTGTTTTTCGGCAGTGGCTTCGCCTTCCCCTTCATTGTTGTCAGACACCAGCTCCTGAAGAAGTGAAGTGGCAATGCATGCACGTAACCGCCAAGGTAATTGCCGCTGATCTATTTTTCATCTGAATGTCACCACTGTTTGGCATTTACTTGCATCCTGATTGGAACAGTTACCAGACTTTGACATCTATCACGGTAGTCGGTAGTTGTATCTTATTCTACAGCAGACCTCAAGTAAATGATCCGTGTCTGTGGGCGACAGTTACAAATGTCATGCAAGTTTATTTTTCAGTTCAGCTTTTAAGATAAGCTTGCACATTAGCATGGTAATGTGACAGTTTAATACCGTCCCTGATAAATATCAGGTGGAAGTTAGGCTGAATTTAAATCGTCACTGTCACATTTATCTCTGGTGTTTACTCAGAAATTGTATTTCTGTCATCAGCTTTGTGTAAGCCTTCATCTCAATCTGTCTTTTGTGTCCTTTGCAGGTCTGCGCCCAGAACATATATATATATATATATATATATATATATATATATATATATATATATATATATATCCAGCAGAACTCTCTTTGTTTCAAGAATGGAAATCCCTAATTGTGTTTGTAAATAAGTCGCTCTGGATAAGAGCGTCTGCTAAATGACTTAAATGTAAATAAAGTTCACTCAAATGTATATTGTTCAAATACGTTTTTGTACTTGAGTTTGGGTTTCCACTAGATTCTATAGCCACAAAGTCAAAATTGTATATGGGAAAAATTCATGAAAACAAATATGCCTAACCTGAAATTAAAAGACCAGAAAGCACAAGGGTAGCCGTGTGGTTATGTTTAAAATCAGATTTTAAGAAGATACATTGTGGAAATGGGCAGGGTTTAGCAATGATTATGAATTTGTGGCTATAGAAGGTAGTGACAACCTTGAGTTTGTCCAGACTGTGATGTCATGCTGCAGCATATGCTTGGGGCTATTCTGTAGTCTGAATTGTATCTGGTTTAATGGGACATCTACAGAAGGTGTCACTCATGGAGTTATGATTTTTATGGGAGTTTTCAGAATAATGTTGGCACAAAATGGGGAGAAGGCATGTCTGAGACTTATTTTCTGTTTTGTGCCTAATTTCTGTTTCGTGCCTACTGTACAAAAAGGTGTCAACTAGGTTTGTTTCCAAGTGGTATTTTCTGTGTGTATTTGACTTCATAATATACATTTCATAAACTAAGAGCATTTTTACATTTACTTTTTAAAGTTTGTCAGATGCCACTTTTTCCACAGGGATCGCGTACAAAAAAAGAACATGAAACAAACACTCTTACATTATCACAATTTACTGGTGGAGTGATAGTTGCATGAAGTCAGGGTTGAGAAATGTGTATGTTTCTGTTGTGTGTGGGTTCTCTGTTCTTGATTAGTGGGTAGGAAAAATGTAAGTGGAAAATGCATATTGAGAGGATAGTTTTGTCCCGAGATACTTGTATTCATGAAGATGCCATGTATCGAAGATGCAATTATTTGTAATACTAGTACAGGTCATCAAAAGTCTGGAATAGTCATGTTTTCAAACACAGGTAAATATCTAAATGGAGTGTAATCATACAGTATTTGGTGCATTTGCTTATATCTCATGGGGGTGACGGACAGTAATTTCAGCCTCGTCTCTGGCACTAGCTGTTCAGTATGCAAGTGCATTAATGGGCAACTTTAATAAGCCCTATCCGGGAACCTGAACAATTACTTCATATGTACAGGTAACTGCCAAAATAATGGAGACCCTTGCGTAAATTAGGGATACAAAGTAGGCCCCTGTAGCTCAGTTGGCAGAGCATGGCGCTTGCAACGCCAGGGTTGTGGGTTCGTTTCCCACGGGGGGCCAGTATGAAAATGTATGCACTCACTAACTGTAAGTCGCTCTAGATAAGAGCGTCTGCTAAATGAAGTAAATGTAAAATGTAAAGTACATTGAAAGTAGGTGCTTCCACACAGGTGTGGTTCTTGAGTTAATTCAAGGAGTTCCCTGAGTTTTATATATATTTCCACACTGAGGTTGGAATAATACTGTGGAACTGATGATAATGGGCTTTTAGTGTAAGAGCTGTTTGAAAAGACTGCCTGAAATTTCAGCCTGTTTTTGGTGTGATGGCGTTTTGGCCTGTCTGGTGCCATCACCAGGTAAATTACTCTATAGACCAATAAGAAAGTGTTCCAAACCTCTCTGCCAATAACAGATGGATTTCTGTTTTCCCTGCCCCACTCAGACCACTCCCAGACAGTCTTGGCTAAATTATTGCTTGAGAAATTGCTCATTGCTAAGAAGCAATTTTGTTTATTTTTGACCATTTTAATTGTAAAACAATCACAGTAATTGTTACCCATAAATAATTTCATAGTGAGATAAAAATGGCTGCATTGGACCTTTTTAAGTAGTTAACATCCCATCATGCTTAGGGTCATGTATGAAAATGCTGGGCAGGCCATTATTTTGGTTACCATGGTTATGACCCCATAGAATGACAATGCCCCCATCCACAGGGCACGAGTGGTCACTGACTGGTTAGATGAGCATGAAAACGATGTAAACCATATGCCATGGCCTCCTTCTCGTTCACCAGATCTCAACCCAATTGAATACTTATGGGAGATTCTGGAGCGGCGCCTGAGACTGTGTTTTCCACCATCAAGAAAACACCAAATGTGGAATTTCTTGTGGGAGAGCGTTAGCTTAATTTCTATCTAGCATTAGCGCAATGACTAGAAGTCTATGGTAACTGCTAGCATGCTAGTAGATACCATATACTTCCAGTCATTGCGCTAATGCTAGTTAGCGTTGGCTTGGGAAACGACCTATAACTTCCTTCATACTGGATGCAGATACATAAAAATGGTATCAATGAGTTCATCTGACTCTGGGGAAGTAGATAAAGGGCTTCATTGCCGAAATCCTGAAATATTCCTTTAAGACGCTTGTTGGTGTTTCCTTTATTTTGGTAGTTACCTGTATTTCCGTGCAGTAGGGGGAGGCTCTATCGCTCCTGTCTGCCCTAGAGACTGCCTGAATGAAGAGGTTTTTCAAATGAATGTTTTTAAAACTGAAGAAAGCAGTCGGCCTTTGACATATTAAGTCCATGGAATTCTGTCTTGAGGTGTGAACAAAACTGCTTCAATAATAGCATGCTACTAGCACACTTTAATAATATTTAATTACACAAAAGATGGTTGACTCAGTCTGGAGAAAAATCTCAATGTTCACTAAATTAGATAAGACCGATTTAGATTTTGGGTCTGTTACAAAGGGAATTCAGTACAAGGTATGGAAAGCCTAGAGGGTTGTTATAAAATGGAAATTAACTATTTGTGCTACTGCCAAAAGCCTTAAATGTATTTAGCGTCGAAATTGAATGTCAATTTGAATGCAGGGCATGAACCGAAACATCCAGTTCCCTCTGCTCTTTGCTATAGCTTTATGGATGTGTATTGTTTTTTCTCTCACTCGCTCTCTCTGTGTGTGTTCCTTCTTCAGCTGAAATTCATTGAATAACCTATTTCAGTTCAATAACCTTCCACCGCTGGTATAAATATCCAAGAACAGAACAGAAAAGAGGGGAACTGGGAAAGTGGCATGGATAATATTCCAAAAGTAAATAATTTTCATTTGCCTGTGCTCTGGACTCATTTTGGGGATGTGGTGCAGGGTAGATTTTCAGGCTAGGGATGATCTTTTTGGTGTTGTGTGTGTCAGCGGGAGAGAGACCGTCACAAGGGGACATTGGTCATAAGAATGAGAAACGGTTTCCCAAAATCATCTTAAGGCTACAGTGAGGGAAAAAAGTATTTGATCCCCTGCTGATTTTGTACGTTTGCCCACTGACAAAGAAGTCAGTTTATTTGAACAGTGAGAGACAGAATAACATAAAAAAAATCCAGAAAAACGCATGTCAATAATGTTATTAATTGATTTGCATTTTAATGAGGGAAATAAGTATTTGACCCCCTCTCAATCAGAAAGATTTCTGGCTCCCAAGTGTCTTTTATACAGGTAACGAGCTGAGATTAGGAGCACACTCTTAAAGGGAGTGCTCCTAATCTCAGTTTGTTACCTGTATAAAAGACACCTGTCCACAGAAGCAATCAATTAAGCAGATTCCAAACACTCCACCATGGCCAAGACCAAAGAGCTCTCCAAGGATGTCAGGGACAAGATTGTAGACCTACATAAGGCTGGAATGGGCTACAAGACCATCGCCAAGCAGCTTGGTGAGAAGGTGACAACAGTTGGTGCGATTATTCGCAAATGGAAGAAACACAAAATAACTGTCAATCTCCCTCGGCCTGCAAGATCTCACCTTGTGGAGTTGCAATGATCATGAGAACGGTGAGGAATCAGCCCAGAACTACACAGGAGGATCTTGTCAATGATCTCAAGGCAGCTGGGACCATAGTCACCAAGAAAACAATTGGTAACACACTACGCCGTCGGATCAGTCGTCCTGGTCCCTTTGCAGAAAAACAGCCCCAAAGCATGATGTTTCCACCCCCATGCTTCACAGTAGGTATGGTGTTCTTTGAATGCAACTCAGCATTCTTTGTCCTCCAAACACGACGAGTTGAGTTTTTACCAAAAAGTTATATTTTGGTTTGATCTGACCATATGACATTCTCCCAATCCTCTTCTGGATCATCCAAATGCACTCTAGCAAACTTCAGACGGGCCTGGACATGTACTGGCTTAAGCAGGGGGACACGTCTGGCACTGCAGGATTTGAGTCCCTGGCGGCGTAGTGTGTTACTGATGGTAGGCTTTGTTACTTTGGTCCCAGCTCTATGCAGGTCATTCACTAGGTCCCCCCGTGTGGTTCTGGGATTTTTGCTCACCGTTCTTGTGATCATTTTGACCCCACGGGGTGAGATCTTGCGTGGAGCCCCAGATCGAGGGAGATTATCAGTGGTCTTGTATGTCTTCCATTTCCTAATAATTGCTCCCACAGTTGATTTCTTCAAACCAAGCTGCTTACCTATTGCAGATTCAGTCTTCCCAGCCTGGTGCAGGTCTACAATTTTGTTTCTG